AGCCAGCGCTGTGGCCGGGCCACCGCCGCACTTGGGCTGGACACCACTGAATTCCTTTTGAGCAAGTCTGCTAGAAAGTTGTTCACAAAAGATATGGTTTGCTGCGGCGCTTGAAAGATCGCTTCGTAAAGTGCTTTTCGACGTGCATACCAAACAGCCCATAATGTGACAACCATCGTCGTGAACTTGGAGTGGTCTAGCTTGATATATAACTCAAACAACCACCTCTTTGCACTTGGTTCTTCCAGTTCAGACATTGGTTCTTCCAGTTTTGAACGGATTGGTGGCCACAGAGGTATAGCCACAGAGGACGGAAGAGGCCCAACAACCACGGGGTGGCCCAAGCTTGCCCCTCAGAGTCCTTCGGCAATATAAGGCAGATCGCCACATTGGCGCACAAGCCCGACTCTAACTTCCATGTATCGTAGGTCTTTTGTATTATGCATGTATCAATCGGCTTTGGGGCTCCTATAACTCTTGCCACCTCCCAATAGGACCCTACTCATTGGATGTGATAACCTACACCACCCCTTGTACGTAACACAAGCCCTCTAGGTCTCATATGAGGCTAGATCAATCAATATACAGACAACTGAGAAGTAGGGCATTACCTTGATCTGAGGGCCTAAACCTAGGTAAAAAAATTCCTCGTGTGCACCATCCAGATTGCTGGCAAGTGCGCCACCCCATCATCAATACCGCGAGGAAAATACCATGACAAGGATTATCATGGACTAATAGTCCTGAAACCCAAAAAATCTAAAAGGAGTTTAGGACAAGTGAGGCTCTAAATTCACTCTTTTCGAGTGTGTAAATGACGTCAAAGTTTTCCAGATTAGTGATTAATTATTTGGCCGTTTGTTTTGCCCCTATGATGTACATACACCTACTCCCCAAAATCTTTTTGATCTAGTAACATTTCATCATCTTGAGAAACACTAAATTTAAGACAGTGCACACACACACACATTCACACAACACATATTGAAAACCGAAGTTTTTGAGTTTTAAGATTAAAGAAGCATCGACTAATCATAGACACCTTGTTGTTGATGTGAACTAACGAACAATCACCATACATCAAAAGAACATTCCACGTAAATTAGCTGACATCAAATTTGGGATTTAATCCCTTGTGTGTTGAAGGTACAACGACATTGCTAACCATCACGATCATTTTATTCTGCGGGGGATCTTTTTCTTTGCATAAAAGGACTGGGATCTATTGATCATATGACCAGTACATGCACCACTTAAAAATAAAGAAAATACATCAAGGTCGGGTCGGGGCGTCTTCTTCATACTGAATGGGCCGATGCACGCCACTGTCGCAGCCTCTCCATCGCTGGAGCCAATCAAGTCCTTGTTGACCACAGACGGAAAGACTATCAAGGTCATGGTCATACCGGACCAGCGTCTTGGATAAAGAACCTTTTTTATATAGAAAGACTACCCTGGAGACCCATATATAGTATAAATGTGAGTACCAGGATTTGAAACCTGGTGGGAGGAGCCATGCTCCCACAACTCCACCACTGCTCCCAGAAGTGGTTCTCCTAAAGAAAGAATGGTTAATGAAGGAAGATTCACAGATCCAAGATCCCAACCTCACATGCCTCATGCCCAACTTGATGGAGAGGAGGCCAGAGGACCAAACTCCAAAAGAAAGTCATCGTAGCCGTCTCATCGATAAACCCTGCAAACCATAATGCCACCAGCCAGAGAGGTTAGTGGGCATCTACACCAACAGGCCATGCCATAGCCAACACCATTGAGATGGAAGGCTCGAGCAAACTTTATTCACTAGATTGCATCCGTCATCACCACCTACAAATTGCTGTCACACAACCCTACTAAAAGCCACAAAGCGGTGAAAACTACAACTCAATTTGGTAGATTGGGGCCTCCCTGCACCCCCACATCAGTAGAGCTGGTGGAGGGTGGAGGAGTATGGATCGACAACCATAGGACGGCCTACAAGAGGAGGGATGGTGGCTTGGTGCGTCCAAAAATCTCCTCTCTATTGTTTGGTGATATACTCCCTTTGTTTATTTTTACATCGCATATAAGATTTAATTTAAGTCAAACTTCATAAAATTCAACCAAATTTATATACAAAATTATAAGCATCTACAATACTGGAGATATGCAATATGAAAATTAATTGAATGATGCATCTAATGATATTAATTTTATATTATGAATGTTGATATCTTTTCCTATAATTTTAGTCAAACTTTACTATATGTATGACTTAAGACAAATCTTATATGCAGACTAAAAAGAAATGAAGGGTCCTCACGGCTAAATTTGTTTTCTTCAACTAGGATTTTATTTAATTATCAAGCGGGATTTCTAATGAAATAACGTGCAAAATACAGTCCGCATGAATGCTAAACCAAACTTTACATAGCTCATGACTACACTGTTCCTTAGCAAGGATATGGGCCGAGCCATTGGCAGAACCCGGAGATTATGGCGCGCCTGAGTCCATGGACCCTGATAAATACGTGACATGTGGCACTAGTACATGGCAACTCCCGACTTTTTTTTGGCAAATTTAGTGGCACGATGATGGCAATTTTGGTTGTCAAGCATGACAACTTTCGTACGTCGGTTTATTTTTGACAAAAACTTGTTGTGTGTCATCGAAATTTGTCATCCTTGCATGACTGAAATTGCCATGAAAAAATGCCAGGGCCGCATTTGGGGAATTCATTAATAACAAACTAGTACAAATGCCCGTGCGTTGCACCGGGCAAAAAATGAAATATAAGCTGCTCCACATGCCATTATGCAATATTTTTTAACTATTTTTTGCAAATGTCAGAAGTATGGTTACACTGAGTATTTCTTTTTGTATGATGAAATTTGGACGTCATAAATAAGACTACATGTCCACTGATCTTCTAAGACTTCTCACTGCACTTGTTGAAAATTTACAACACATGACAACATATTCGGCAGCAGGGAAAAACAAGTAATGTTGTTATCGAACTACATGACCATGCTGTGCTCTGTATGAGATTTGGTATGTTTAAGAAAGGTATCTCTCAGCTGCATCCTGGGAAAATGAACAGATATTATCAAGTTGCCATACTAAATTCCTCATGACAGTAACCGATAATTATGCGTAAATTATTTACTAATATTTACAACGGGCATATTCGAGTGATTCATTAAACAGAGAACTACCTTCATCATTAACTTTGGATCCTTCAGGTTTCTCCTGAGCGCTTTAGTGTAATGCTTCACTGCTTCTGGGTATTTTTGCTGCTTAGGGAACTCATTAAACAGAGAACCTCATCATTAACTGCCCCAGACTATTAGGAGCAAAAAAGCAGTGTTAATAGTATAATTCACGCAGCTTACCTTTCTCTCGCTCCTCATCAGCTTTTTATGGATCATAATACTCTTGTTGCTTGAGCTCCTTCTTTGCTCGTTTAGCATCATTTAGTCTTTTCAGGGTACCTGGGTTTGATGCTCAGTTAGAGCCTTCTGGAATCAATGGCAACATCGTAGTCTTTGGAAGACTTGGCAAGTTTGACAAGAGCAGTTGCTTTCCTTGCCAGTGCCCTTGAGACCATCTTGAAGTCAGCACAGTTAGCATGAAGTTCTCTTCCCCTCTCAACAACCGTATCACAATCCTTAATGCAATCATCATACTGGTATTTGGAGAAACAGAATATTAGCTCTCAAATCACCAGAGGCATAAGTAATTCGAGAGGGCTCCCGATTCCAATAATTAAGTTAAAACATGTGGCAGTGAAAAATCATAGCAACACTACTGATTTACGAAATCTGCGGTCCATTCAAGCCTTGTAATATCCAAGCCCCCAA